ATGACTGGCTTTGGGTCAATCTGGGGCCCAGTTGGGGACTGAAATCTTGTACAAGGATAAGCAGGGGTGGGAGGAGGCAACTCTAGCCATCTTAGGAGCTTTTGAGGAAGGGTGGGAGGTGAGCTGGAGAGAACAAAGCAGGCCTGGATGAGGGGCAGTCGCAGAGAACTGGAGTTACTGCATCACCCAAGTTACTACAGTTGCACCTGGGGGTGAGGGTCTTTTCAGCTGGAGGAGCTGGATTCAGAACCTGTTTCTTGGCCTCAGTTTCCTTCCTGGTCAAGTATCCATGGTAAGTACCAACTTCAGTAAGTACACCTGAGGAGTACAGTGTAGTTCTATCGAATTGGAAAAGGCAGAGTGATAACAGTCATTATGAATGATATGCATCATAGAAAACATTATTATAAAGTATAGTGCATTAGTGATGGATATTAGGTATCTCAGGCTCAGAGACCCTCAGGGCTGCCAATGCTATCAGAGGTCATCCAGCCTAACCTCCCTCAAAGGGTATTAGAGCCCCCTGTTCAATCCATGAAAACCATTATTAATCTTATTGCCAGCAAGATTGCACAGGATGGATTTCAAAATTCACTCCAGGCAGGGAGTGGCTCCTTATATCCCAATCAGACAAAGGCCTGATGGTTATGGATTCAGATTCCTGGGGGGGGGGCGGGGGGGGGCCCTGGCAGAGCCATCGTTCCTACCTTTATAAGTAACCCAGAGCCCAGACAGAAAGCACATCCCAGAAACTGTTGTGGCCAAAACAGTGGTAGGAAGCGAGGCACAGAGCCAGGGCCCCAGCTGGGAAAATCTCAGGGCGGTGGGGAGAGGTTGCTGTTCCCTTGCCAAATCAGCCGTGGTCTCCATGACACTGAGAGGAGGAGGCGGGAAAAGGACAGTAAGCACATGGTAGCCTCTGAAGCCCATGATGGTCTTTCATGGCCTGAGAGCCACATCCCCAGTAGCAGCTAGAAGGACCTGAAAATTTTCAAACCTCATCCTTTGGTTCTCCCATTCATCGGTTCCCCGGTCCCTACTCAACCTTCACCCTTATTCCAAGTCTGGCATAACAGCCCAAATCTAACAAACAGAGCTCTGGAATGACACAAAAGCTGCTGCCAAAAATCTCCTGCTGCTTTTCCTTCATTCCTTTGGGTTAACAGGCATTTTCCCTCCTAGAATATAAATGTTCATGGGAAAACTCTGCCAGATCGCAGGTAAATCACTGAGAGTGGCCCAGAGGGTCCCCACTTGAGTTAGAAGGTGAGCACTTCCCAGGTGTGATAGGATGACCCAGGGGAGCCTACTGACCAGCCCTCTCTACCTCTCCCTACTATCCAGACACCCTCTAGTGCAAACATCATCCACCTGTTTGAGATGGGGCGATTAAAATTGGCTCCCAGTTGGGTCTTTACTTCCGAACCATCATGTTAGTCCCAACTTGAATGAAGAAGGAATGTTAGAGAAGTGTTTCACCCCAGCTGGAGGTCAGAGGGAGTTTGCTGGAGTGTACATGGCCAGGCAGACCCCTTGGGGAGAGCTGACACTTCCCGGTTGCTTCAGGGGTAGATGGGGTATGGCAGGACATGTTACTGAGGGCAGGAGACCCGTGCGCATGATGAGTGGCTTCCATGTTGAAGGCAAATGGAGCCAACTGTGGGTCACCCCAGGGTCTGGGAGAAAGTGGAGAGGACCTCAACAGCAATCAAGCAAAGGGGTTCAATTTTTCCTTGATCTTCACACTTTTAAGAGTTCTGATTTGATTTTACTTTCTGAGGAATCCTGCACACTGCTTTAGGTGAGTTCAGCCTTGACCTGTTAGGGAAGTAGAGGCAGGACATTTTTGGGAGGGAGTGGGAGGGGACCCTAGAGCTTTCCATCCTCCCTGAAGTTTATGGAAAATGGGGGGTCTGTGCCAGGCGTAAGAAAACCCGATCCTCTCACCTGAGCCTCTTCGTCTTTAGTTTGGAGTAGAAAACAAGATGGAGGGAGCTCAGGCAAGAATATCTGATTCCAGGGGTAATCAACCGAGATTCCTTCCCTATGTCCAGCCTTGTCTGCAGAACGCTGGGGAAGAAGAGTAACTAGAGACATTTGAAATAAGCAAAGTCAGCAGCAGAGTTAGGAAGACGGGACGACATCTCACTGTTCCAAATGAATTCTTCCACAGGGATTTACCATTTCTTCCATTCCCTACTTAAAAACTCCAATCTACATATTACTGCTTTCCCAATTTACAGATTTTCCAAACTGAGGGTTTGTTTATTTGCTTCTGTCCATGTTTTTATAGAGCTTATGGAACTGAAGTAGGTCTCACATTTTAAATCTTCTGACCACAGAACTGGATGGCATTCCCTTCACTCACGCCCCTAACACTCAGTCATTGCAGTGAGGGCTGGCTGCCATAGCAGTAAATAAGGCAGGAAGTGAGGCTGAGAAGGCAGCAGCGGTAGGAAAGAAAACATGCGCACAAGCAGGAGAAAAGCTAGGCTTGGGAGCAGTGGATAAAGGATGCAAGATCCTGGGGGATTGAGGGATGCAGCTGAGAAGGGAGCGCTACCAGGGCTTCTCCATGCACGCGGGGCTTTGTCAGCCCTCCAGTGCCAGGCAAGCTGGGACAAGGGTCGGAGACCATCGTCCACTGTGGAATAAGCAAAAGAAGAAAGGGGAATGACAGGGGGCCAAGGAGGAACCATAGGGAAAGGGTGAGAGGCAGAATCAGAAGAGAGCTTGAGAGCACATAACTGGGCAGGGCCAGGGTGCGGGTTTAGCCTGCCCACCACCCACATCTGGAGGAGGGGAAAGGAGCAGAGGCCTGAGGTAGGGCTCTACCTGGAGTATCCTTGCAGGCCCTCTACCTAGTAAAGCCAGGAGGCAAGCAGGGCCCACCCAGGAATTACGGTCCTTTTTAGGATTTGAGTATTTTTCCTGGATGCTTCTCGGCTCGCGTTCTTCCTTGTGGGAAGGCAGACCCCTGACCCCATGTAGGAAGTGAGGCACGCTGGGAAATCATGGCTGTGTTTACACCTGCATTTCAAGGTCTAATGCAGGAAGAAAGGGCTGGCTTCTCCGTGAATACTGGAGACTCAGGGCATAGTCCCACTCAGCAAATCCATTTGTCTCTTCCAGGTCTCCAGGAGGGAATGGCTGGAGACGAAATGAGTGGAGAATGATTAAAGGCAATGAGCCCCAGGCATTCCAGATTATTGCAGGGTGGGTTAACCTGCTACAGCCAGTCATTTTGGAATTGTTTCAGAAAATTGTATGGACTCTGGGTTGGTCTTGAATCAGCTAGGGAAAGGAGGACTCAGGACTCTCCCCTTCTGGTTGTGAGGCACCATGAGTAAGAAAGCTCTTCACAGAACACAAAGGACTGTCCAAGCAGGGAAGCGGGAACTCGTGTTATTTGCTAAACAGTGTGGTAAGCATCTCATATATTTCATATAGTATTCCTAATAATCCTTACCCATCTCTGTAACTTTGGGGTTAGTGTAGCTATTCTACCACCAAAAAAGTTGGAACACAGAGAGGTTAAATATTTGCAGAATGTCACGCAACCAGTCAGGGGAAGGGCTGGGTTAACTGGAGTTGCCCCAAAGTTATCTAAGGAACAGCAAAGGACATTAGAATTTCAGTGAATTTTCTAGAAGGAATCCTAATATGTGAGCAATGAGGAAATGCATTGAGCAAATAGTGTGCCTGCCCCAGTGCCACATGGTAAGAAATAAAAGGCTATTCCTTAGGTCCTTAAGCTTTCTCCTGACAAACTGGGCACTAAATAATTCCCAGGTCTCTGCTTTTCTTTGTTTTTGCCTACTAAGGTATAGGGGTTAGAGAGAGAGGGGTGAAGTAAGATAACATACCTAACAAGTCAAATGTACTGCATACACCCCCTTTCAAGAGAACTGAGTCTTTTTCCTGGCTTCAGTATCATCTGTGAAATGGCCACGGTATCTACCTCAAAGGATTATTGTGTTGGCAAATTCCAGAGTTCTCTATAGCTACACAAGCAACCCACAGGATTTGAGAAATCCCCTTTTCGTGATGATTAATGAGGCGGATCAATGACAACACTGTTATAAAATTACAGGACATTAATGATAATTATATATGTATTAGGCCCAGAGTCTCAGGGCTGGAAAGAGCAAAGGTCTCCAAATAAGCCTTCCTCTGCTCATCAATATCCCTGCCAGGCGGTATTATTACAAATGATTCCATGCTTTTCATTCATAAGTCCTCCAAGGAAGAGAACACGAAGAAATTAAGAATTGATGCCCTGTGCGCCCATGAGTCTAGTGCTTGATGATTGTGGCCCTGGGTTTGTACAGACTCCACCATTCCGGTGTCTAAAAGGCCCAGGGCCATTACAGAACACAACCCCCAGAATATCCTGTGGTCACCATTGGGTAGTAAAACAGAGCCAGGGCCCCAGCTGAGGAGTCGTAGGGATGTCTGTTCTCTTAAAATAAATCAACTCTGGTCTCTATGGCACACTGGGGAATAGAGGAGACGCAGGGGTGCTGGCAATCTCTGAGGCCCCAGTAAGTGGATGCTCTGCGTTCTGCTAGGACTTTCACTCTCAATAGTGAGATCCGGGAAAGTTGCCCACCACCTCCCAGGTGCACGGCACAGGCCAATGATGGGGCACCGGGGCTCTGATTCATGCTTTAATGAGGACAACTACCCCCTCCCACCAATAATTTGTTCCTTAGTAATTCTCCCTTCACCAGCATTCGAGAACTAGAAGGACAAAGCTATAAAAATAGTAACTCATAAAATTCCAGGACCTCAGTATGAATCACTACCCCCTCCCTCCCACATACATTTGTTCCTTTAGTTTTTGCCCTATTAAGATGTAAATGCACAGAGGAAACTCTGCCAGATGTCCAGGAAACCAACTGGCTTCAGGTCCCTACCTGAGACAATAATGAGCATTCTTTAGAGGAGGAGGTGGGAGGGCCAGGGGCACCCCTATACAGCCTTGCCACCCTCCCCTCACTGCCATTTCTATGTAGCACAAACACCACCTGCTTTGGGAAAGAAGGGAAAAAAGGACCCAAGTCTTTACTTCTGAATCAGCACACAAGACACAAGTCCCAGCCGTCAAGGAGGACATGGAGCCTTTATTAAATTTTTCCACTGAGGGCTGGCGGGCTGTATTGAGGCCTGGGTGACTGACCAGGCCTTTTAAGCCTTCTCAGACTGCTTCAAGAAAAGGCAGCACTGAGGAACAAGATAATGCATAAAAATAGGGAACATATCCATGTGAAGAGTCAAGTTTCCATGTTGATGGTAAATGGAAAAGCCTTTGGGTCTGAGCTGAGATCTGGGACAAAAAGGGAAATGAAGAGTAATAAAGGTGAGGGACCCATCCTCTCGACTGATGTGAATGTTCACAGGGGGGGCTCCAGCTCCCAGCCTAGCCCTTGCTACTGAGGAATCCTCAGGGCTTTGACCTTGGAGGGAGCATGACCTGTGGGGGCTAAGCTTTTTCCATGCTGCCTCAAGTTCAAATCTCTTCCCTGAGGGTAGGGTACTGGATGTCGCGAGAGGGAAAAGGCGTGAAGGAAGCTCAGAAGAAAAGTTCCAGATCGCATTTGCAGATCCTTTTACAGATAGCTTATGCCTCAGCAAAGGCTAGGAAGGAAAAATCCTGGGGATGGTCCTCTGGGATGCTGACTTATTGGGTGGCTTCCTCGTTCCTAGAAGATGGCCATGTGAGCAGAAAGACTCCCTCCGCGTTCTTTATGGCTGGGCTGATGACCACGGGCAGTGACCAATACTGTGAAAGCAAAAGGAAAAGAGAAAAAACTTGATACATAAAAAGGTAGTAGCAAACAAAGTTAAAATCACAATAAGTAATTTGTAGCACATCTATTTTCAAAAGACATAGTCATTCCCATCCGCGCAAAGATTGTGAATTAGGCACAATTATTTTGTTGGTCTTTCAGATAAGAAGACGTGCTCACAAAGGGTTAGTGTGTTTCCCATGATCACCCAGAGCTTAGACAGGAAACCTTGGACTTAAGATGAGGCCTCCTGATCCCAGGTCTGGAGTTCCAACCACCCAATCCTCCGCCAATCACGACAGGAAAGGGGATGAGAAATGGGGTGGAGAAAGAAACCAAAGAGGAAAATACTCCCAGGCCCTGAGGGAGAGTCAGAGGGGACGGCAGGGGCGCAGACCCTGGCGGTCTCAGGGATGGGCTGGGAAGGGCAGTTCTGCCACGCACGTACTTGTCCTTGGAGTCTTTGGAGTCCCTTCTGTTTCATGACACTTAGGTGACTCTCCTTCTTGGGATGGGAGAATGTACTCATCTACCATGAGAGGAAAATATAAAGGTAAAGGGAGAGAAAAGGGGAGAAATGCAAGGGTGAGGCCCGAGGCAAATGGGGAGGGGGTGCAAGAGCGGTTTTGGGGTGGCGTCTGCCAACTGCCCATCCCCTGCCTGGGTGGGGAGACCCAGGGTTGAGCCCACAGGTAGCAGAAGGCAAAGGAAGGTGGTCTCAAGAGGAGGCTCCTTGCCAGCACCCCCCTCAAAGATGAGCCAGCAGGGATAAGGGGGAGGGCACTCCAGTTCCAATGGCCATTGATCAGCAGAGCCCGGGTGTGTGAGGGCAACTGGTGCCAGGGTGTGGGGGTGACCCAGGGGTGTGGTGGGGATTCCACTACTAGAGGTAGTGGGGAAGGCAGCTGAGAGGGGTGGGGGCCGAGACAAGGAGAATGGGGTTCAGGAGGGGGCTGCAAGCGGCCCTGACAACCGCTCATCTCCTGGAGGGACAGGAACACCAGATCTCGAGGAGGGAGGACAGTGGTTCTGGAAACCACTCCCATCACAACCTCTGCAACCAACCTGGGGTGAGAGAAGAGGTGCCTCAGCTCTCCACATCCTTGGTCTCAGTTTTTATGCATTCTTACAGCAACTCTGATTTCCTGGGGAGAGTCCACATAAGCTGGTGTGTGAACTGAGTCAGCTTACAGCCAAAGTAGAGAAACCGACCAAGGAACGGCTGAAATTAACGGCCAACGGCTCCTCCTCCTGCTGTTGGCCACGCCCATCGCCCCGCCTCCTTCAATCAGAAGCTCAGCTCCTCCCTCTGTCCAGCCTGCTTTTGCGGAGGGGGAAGGGCCCTGGGCCTTCCAGAAAGTTCCTCAGCTTGAGACTGGTCCTAGACCAGCCCTTCCTGTGAGGGGAGGAGCCGCCATGAGTCTGTGGAATTCGAGGGCTTCTCGGGACCTGCTGGACCTCAGAAGGGCCAAGCAACACCTGTTGGGAAAGGTGGTCCCGGTTTGGAAGGGGTTCTGAACCCCAGGCCTTCCAGGATGTAGGTCGGCCACAGCCTGGCTTCTGAGAGCAGAGGCCCCGGTGCAGGCTGTCATGGGAGTGCCCCTCGCTTTATGTTTACCAGGCCATCGAATCACAGGATCCCTGTGCTCCCGGAGTCCTCAATTCCGTTTTACCTCATGGTGCTATCCAGAAGGTCCTTGGCCGGAGAGGCCTCACAAAATCAGGGTCAGGGATTGAGATTCTGCTAATGCCAACTTCCGAATTTTTCCCACTGACGGAAGGCCCCCTCACTCGAGAGAAATGTTTGACTAGGCTCAGCCAGCTCTTTGGGACCCAGACTCCTTAAGGAGAGTTTGCCACTTGCGCTTGCTTTCTTCTGCACTGCTGCAGGGCTTGGCTCTTACTCAGAGCCCAGGCATCAGGAACCCAGCCAATGGGGGAGGGTTGCTGAGCGGAGGAGGCCTGCGTGTTAATATTTATTGGGGGCACTTATTTTGAAAAACTTTGTCCTGAAAAGTTCAAAATGCATCTTCATATTTGAACATTCCTTTAAAAAAATTGACACAGAATTCACATAACATAAAGTTCATCATTTTAACCATTTCAAAAGTGTACAATTCAGTGGCTTTTCTTACGTTAAATGTTGCGCAACCATTACTACTATTTAATTCTGGAACATATTATCACTCCCAAAAGAAGTCCCGTACACATCAAGCAGCCATTCCCCAGTCTTTCCTCCCCTTAGCCTCTGGCAACCACTAATCAGCTTTCTGTTTTGATGGATTTGCATATTGTTAAACATTTCACGTCGATGGAATCACACAATATATGACTTTTCGTGTCAGACTTCTTTCACTTAGCATAGTATTTTCAAGGTTTATCCATGTCGTAACATGTATCGGTACTTCATGTTTTTAGGGCTAATAGTCCACTGTATAGATATACCATATTTTGTTTATCCATTCATGTTAATGAACATTTAGGTCATTTCTACTTTTGGGTTATTATAATTTTCTATAATCCCTATGCACATTTTTGTTTGAACATATGTTTCAAAATCTCAATACCTATGAGTGGAGTTTCTGGGTCATGTGGTAATTCTACCTTTAACTTTATGAGAAACTGCCAAAATGCTTTCCCCACAGTTGGTATACCATTTTACATTCCTACCAGAAATATATGAGGGTTCCAGTTCTTTCCATATTCTCATCATTTTTTTTTTAATTATAGCCATTCTGGTGGGTATGGAGTGGTATGTCCTTGTGGTTTTGATTTGCATTTCTCTTGTTATTTATTTGTTTTGTGACTTTTCTGAACTAGTTTTGTAAAGTGTGTATCCTTTGGCATGTGTGGTCATGAAAGTCTGTTCTGCTAGATTAATGGTCAGCTGGGGATTCTGCAGAAATGTCCTTAAACACGTAGAACTAGAAGAAAGAAAAATCTTCCAGTCTTTGCAGATGGACTCTTGTGTGCATATTGGGGAATGCCATGCATTCAACACTCAGCCAGACAGTTCACAACCTCACCTTAGCCTTCACTTCCTGCTTGAGCAGAGCTGATGATCAGCCAGAGGTAAGAGCCTAGGACCTTCTCGGGTCTTTTCTGAGCGTGTGCCCAGCCCTGGGTACGTGCATGGCCTTCTAGGTACCCAGAAATATGTGCCAGCTTTTCAAAATCTTTATTCCCCAAACCATTTCATACCTTTCCTCCCAAGCTTTTAGAGTTGTGTATTCTTCCCCCCAACTGTTATTCCTTGCCTTTAAATGTTTTTGACAAAGTCTTCCTGCGTAGCTGCCTCAATCCTAGGAATTTTCTGAGTTAGGTGAAATGAGCCACCGGACAGGTCAAAATGAAAATGACGGTTGTTTGAGAACAAGGTCTGTTTTGCTTCCTCTGGTACCAGGTACCTACTGGGAATGCCTGCTGTTACCTTGACCACTGCCAAACTGGGGAGTGGGGGATGGTGCCAGGGTAAGTTAAAATGTCACAAAGCTGACATACTTAGGCTCATCTGGTTTTTCTTGATTAATCATTTCCCTGCTTGCTGTAAAATGTTGATTAGACTCCAGAGTTCTGAAAAAGTTGAATTTCACAGTATTGCCAGTTTATTCATTGCTTTTGAGAAGGAACAGAGTTTTGGGACTCCTTATTCCACCACTTTTTCTGACATTACCCTCTGTATTTCCCTTCGAAGTAAGTACTTATTAGGAGCTAAGTTCCAGAGAAGTTTAGGTACTTGCCCATGTTGTATCTAGTAACACAAAGAGCAAGGATTTGGACACAGGCCAGATATGACTCTAGAGCCTATTTTATCCAATTGTAACAGTTATTCCTTCATTTGAGAATATTTATTTTATATCTACTAAATGCTAGGTGCAATTCTAGAAATTCAGGATTACCTCATTGTACAAAATAGCCAAGATTCCTGAAAGCTGGCATTTTTATGGAGGGAGATTCATGATTCACAATAAATATTTGATATTAGATTTAAGACTTGCTATGGAATAAAGACATTGAGATACTCATTGGGATAAGGACTGCTATGGGGGTGGTGTGAATACAGTTTTCCTTTTTTTTCATGCATTTTGTCTTAGTTGCAAATTTATAGAAAATTTGCAAGAATGGTAGTACATGAATTTCTACATATTTACTCAGATCTAGTCATGGTCAATGTTTTGCAATATTTGCCTTATCGTTCTCTATCTGCTCCCCCTCTCTCATTTGATAGTAAGTTGCATTATATTGTGTCTGTTTATGCCTTCATAATTAATTATTTCCTAAGAATAAGGACATTCTCTTATAGGAGCACAGGAGTAATCAGGAAAGTTAACATCTATATAATACTATTATCTAATCAGCAGTTTATATTCTAATTTCATCTATTGTTCATATAGCATCCTTTATACCAATTATGTTTTCCAGCCCGGGATGCAATCCAGCTTCCTCCTTTGCATTTAGTTGTCATGTCTCTTTAATCTGGAATGGTTTCCTCACTCTTCCTTTGTATTGCATAATATTGGCATTTTTAAAGACTGTAGGACAGTTATTTTTAGAATGTCCAAAATTTGGATTGTCCTGGGATCTCCTGAGGATTAGATTCAATTAATGCATTTTTGACAGAAACACTACTTAAGTGATTTTTTCCTTGTCAGTGAAATACGTAAGGACGTAAGGGGGCCATGATGTTGGTTTGTCCCATTATTGATCATGCTAACATTGATTACTTCATTAAGATGTTTTAAGACAGATTTCTCCATTGTCAAATTATTACTTTTTTCTTTCATAATTAATAAATAATTTGTTGGAAGATACTTAGAGAAATATAAACATATTTTCCCTCATGTTGATTCAATTTTATTCTTTGAATATGTAAAATAGTGACATGAATCTAAATTTCAAACCATATAAAAATGCGTAATCACTGAAGTTTTACTCAATTCCTTACTCCTACCCAATTTATTTGCATATATTTGTGGAAAGTAGGTACATTTTAAAAGATTTCCTATACTCAATGGTTGTTTCTTCCTTGTTAATTATTATATATATTTATGTTTTGTAATATTTTCTCATAATCTTTTGTATTTCTGTGGTGTCATTTCATTTCTGATTCTATTTATTTGGGTCTTCTCTCTCTTTTTCTTGATGAGTCTGGTTAAAGGTTTATCAATTTTGTTTATCTTTTCAAAGAACCAGCTCTTGGTTTCATTGATTTGTTGTACTGGTTTTTTAGGCTCTATTTCATTTATTTCTGCTCTGACTTTTATTATTTCCTTCCTTCTACTCACTTTGGACTTCATTGCTGTTTGTTTTCCAGTTCCTTTAGGTGTAGGGTTAGACAGTTTTTTTGAGATTGTTCTTCTTTTTTGAGGTAGGCCTGTAGTGCTATGAATTTTCCTCTTAAGACTGCTTTCACTGTGTCTTATAGATTTAGGGTCATTGTGTTTTCATTTTCATTTGTCTCAAGGTATCTTTTGTTTTCTTCCTTGATCTTACTGTTGACCCATTCATTGTTTAGTAGCATGTTATTTAGCCTGCATCCATTTGTGTGTTTTTCAGGGTTTGTTTGTGTTTTTTTTTCCCCCCTGTAATTGATTTTTAGATTTTTAGTTTTATACCATTGTGGTCGGAAAAGAGGTTTCATATGATTTCAGTCTTCTTGAGCTTATTGAGACTTGTTTTGTGGCCTAACATGTGGTCTATCTTGGAAAATGTTCCATGTGCACTTGAAAAGAATGTATATCCTGCTGCTTTGGGTTGAAATGCTCTGAAAATATCAATTAAATTCATCTTGTCTAATGTGTCATTTAAGGCTGCTGTTTCATTTTTGATTTGCTATCTGTAAGATCTGTCCGTTGGTGTCAATGGGTGTTAAAGTTCCCTACTATAATTGTATTACTGTCAATCTCTCCCTGTTGTCAGTCAATGTATGCTGTATATATTTAGATGTCCCTATATTGGATGCATAAATGTTGACAGTAGTTATATCCCCTTTTTGGAGTGATCCCTCAGGCTGACTGGCTGTAGGGTTTGCCCACATCCATAGCTTATGGGTTCTTGTGTTGGAGGCTTATTCCAAGGGGTGAGATTTGCCCCAGCAGCCTCTGGTACCTGCTGAGACCACCCTTTGGGTGTGCCACTTGTGGGG